TTTTTTTTTTTTTTTTGAAATTATTTGAAATTCAATAATAGTTGATTCAATCATGTTTTGTTTCCAACAAAAATAATTATTATCTAGCTCATATTTTTATTTATGTTCAATATATATAATTGTTATATCCTTATATAATAAAATACTATGTTCTTACTTACTGGTTAAAAAAATAAAATCGTGATAATCCATTTTCAAAGTAACAAAAATATAGGTCTTCCCAGTATTGATTAATGGGAAATGCTATAGTTCCGTTCCCGGACAAATCAGTTGGAGTTCGTAATTGTTAGATCAACTATTCCAGACGGTTGCATGATGGTCTACCGGTTACAAATCCCGACTGAATGATTGCACGAGACCGTAAAATTTCCCATTAATTATATTGGTGTAGTTGGAATCATGCACTACTTTCTTTTTTTTTTTTTTTTCTCCGGTTATTCCTTGAAAGTTAAAAGTGTAAAATTGTCCGATTTTAGTGGAATCGTGACATGACATTCATCACGCTTCCAAATTTCTCTGTAAAATGATCCTGAGCTTAATTGCCCGCTGCTTTTAATTTCTCGCTTTGCTGACAAAACCTCGAAGAAAGCTCGTATATACGGTAACTTATTGCTTTTATTTTTTCTCTTCCCAAGATTGTGAATTTGGTCATGAATGGAAAAGAGGGAGATTTTCTGTTGATTTTTGGTACTTTCTGACCCTTTTTTCGTTCCTTTTTTTACGTTTTCTCTGTTCAATTTCAATAATTTTGGCCAATTCGATTTTATTTTTTTTTTTATTTTGGGAGAATTCTGGTGAGTAGTTTCGTGCCTTGTCTCATAAACGTCGAAGAAATTTGGTTTAATGGGTTTTTTTTTTTTTTTATATATATATATATATTTATTTGTTATTTTCTTTTGCCTCCTTACCTTCTCTCTGCAAGAATCTGAGATTTGTTCAAGAGTTCGAAAAACAAAAGTAAAAATGAACAACATTACATATGAGTAACAAAAAATGGAGAATTCAAATAATAAGTTATGCATTTATATATATCTCTCATGTCTTGCTGTGTGCTAAGTAAATTATTCGTTGCTGTACCTGAATTATTCGTTAGCTTTTCTTTAGACGCTGTTTTGTGTTTTCTTGAAGGTGTATTAATGGTTCCTTTGTCCTCTCGAGTCCCTACTTTTTCTACAGAAGATAATATAAAAATGACTTGGTTTGGCTTTTCAATGCAACCCTTTAAGCAATGAGTTCTTGAAGTTAATTTTGTTCTGCCTCATGCTTTCCTATCTTCATCCTCCTGTGCACTTGTAGCCTCAAAGCCGTCCTGCTGATGAGCCATTATGTATCCATTTTACACCATTAGCTACATATTTTAGTTTACACAAACATGAGTGCTTTAACCAAGGAAGGTTCTTCTCAAAACACTCGAAAGAAGGTCGAAACCCACACAACCCATGTGGGAAATAAGGATGTAATGCCTGGAAGCCAACTATGGACCGATGGCCTTATCTGTGCTTTCGAGTTCATCCGAGCTCACAAAAAGTCGGCCGATCCAAAATCTTTGCCCAACAAGCAATCGTCTCGTCTGGTCAATCATTTTAACTCGAAGAGCCAAATTCACCCGGATGGAGAAGCTTCTCAAAAATCAAACAGAAACACTCTTCAAGAATCTGCCCCTCTCGTTGAATTAGATGGCCAAAACTCTAAATTCGACGCCTCTCAACCCGTCGAAAGGCGTGAAGAAGGGAGCTATTGGGCTCCGATTGGATGGGCCCGAATTTCAGAGCTCGTCCAAACAGTTGAGATCGACGAGGAGTGGTCCACTAAGCAATTTACATTCACGGAGGACGATGATGACGAACTCACTGTTGCAGACTTAGCTGCTCCGTACTGGGAAAGACCGGCCGGGCCCACGTGGTGGTGCCATCTAGCTGCCGGTCATCCGACTGTCGAGGCGTGGCTCGGTGGGGCCCACTGGTTGCATCCTGCCATTAGGACTGCTTTGAGAGACGAGAGCAGATTGATAAGCGATCGAATGAAACACCTCTTATATGAGGTATATATTTCATTTCATGTCTAATATATGTCTATATCATGTGGTTTTGATTAAAAAAACCCATCAAGTGTAATGATAAAATGAAGAATCCGTTTAGTTTCTTTTTGAAACTTTAATATTTGACAAATTTTACAGGTCCCGGTAAGGGTTGCTGGAGGTTTACTGTTTGAACTTTTGGGGCAGTCAGCTGGTGATCCCTACATTGAAGAAGATGATATCCCGGTTGTTGTTCGTTCATGGCAAGCTCAAAACTTCCTTTTAACCGCTCTACATGTGAAAGGATCTGCTTCGAGAATCAATGTTTTAGGTATAACAGAAGTCCAGGTTAGTTATATATCCTCTAATGAATCCGAGTGAATTTTAGCTACAAATACGTGTGAATCTGGGTTAACAAATAGATTCACTACAATTTCTACTTCATTTTTCTAAGAAAAACGCGTGTGCAAGTTTTCGAAATTTGATCTTATTGTGGACTCTTTTTTTAACCAAATTTACCGAGATTTGGTGAAATTATTTCAATTAAATTGTTTTGGAATAAAAATCGATGCAAGAAATTTTAAAGCTTAATTTTTTTTATGTTTTATCGCGACTTTTTCCATTCAGGAACTTTTGATTGGTGGAGGCTACAATACTCCTAGGACCGTGCACGACATTATAGCGAATCTAGCTTGCCGATTGGCACGGTGGGATGACAGGTAAGACAATGACATGGTGTTTTCAGTGTTGTCTTACCTTTTGTGGCTTTGAAGTTCTTAAGCAAATATTAATTCATTGTTTTTCATCACTTTGAAAAGGCTATTTCGAAAATCCATATTTGGGGCAGCAGATGAGGTTGAATTGAAATTCGTGAACAGGTACTACAGTACGATAAATGCTTTAGCAAACTTTTATTAACCTTTTTCAACATATTTGCTCAACTTTTTCAACAGGAGAAACCATGAAGACTTGAATCTTTTAGGGGCAATACTCAACCAAGAAATTAGAAGGCTATCAAGACAGGTATGCGTAAAAGCTCTTACAAATTTCAAGTAGAATTGATATTTTTCTGCTACTTTTATGCAAAAGTTGCTTGTTCAATTTTGTCAATGGATCCATTTGATAAATGTGTATAGGTTATTAGAGTGAAATGGTCTCTCCATGCAAGAGAAGAGATAGTTTTTGAACTTCTCCAGCATCTGAGGGGAAATCTTACGAGAAGTCTACTGGAAGGGATACAAAAGAATACCAGAGAAATGATTGACGAGCAAGAAGCTGTTCGTGGCCGACTGTTTACCATACAAGACGTCATGCAAAGCACAATCCGTGCATGGTTACAGGTTTTGCACGATCCAATTTTATTTTATTTAGGGTAAAAAATTGGTTCCAATATATACTATACGTGCTTTTGGAATTTGCAACCTATAATATTTATTTTTTGTTGTAAATAGCAACCTGAACTTCATGAACATTCATAATTCGCACACTCGTCTATTTCTTGACCATACGATCATCCATCTGCAGAAATGGACACATGTATGGTCAAGGCGAGTATGCAAATTATGAAAGTTCAGGTTGCATTTTACCTTTAAAAATAATTCAAATAAATAATGTACGTTGCAAAACCCAAAAGCTATACGTATAGGTTGGAAAAAATGATTTACCTTTTTATTTTTTATTTTTGTAGAGTACACTACAAAATATTCAGGGATGCTTGGATATAAGATAATTTGATTTTGTTTGCATTTTTTGGTTTGGTATGGTTAATTTTGAAAAGTGGTATGTTAGTTGTTTGTGGGATTTTGAGTTTATATTAAATAATATTTAAAATATAAATAAAGTTGATTTGATGTAAAATTAAGAGAGATATTATTTTAAGTGATGGTTACTTTACATAATGTCATTATGTAGATGAATAGTGAATGAAAGTCTCTATCGTTCTGTTAAAAAAAAAAAGTATAGTAAATGAAAGTTGATGTAACGTGTAAGAATGATTGAATGGTAGTATTTAATTATATTGATAATATTGAGCATAATGAAGTTGAGTTGGATTTGATTTAAAAAAGGTGATTGGATTTTTTCGGAAAAAAATTTGTATCAAAGCATCCCCTCAATTCTTCGAGAAAAGATTTTATTCTTCTTCTAATTCTCGATATTCTTCTTTAAATTTACAGGACAGAAGCTTGACGGTCACACACAATCTAGCTGTCTTTGGAGGGTGCGGGCTTGTACTTTCCATAATCACGGGATTATTTGGTATTAACGTGGACGGGATCCCGGGTGCACAAAACACGCCTTATGCATTTGGGCTTTTTGCCGGGCTTCTTTTCTTCTTAGGTATGGTGCTGATTGTGGTTGGGCTGATTTATCTGGGGCTGAAAAAGCCCGTTAAGGAAAATCAGGTCGAGGTAAGAAAATTGGAACTTGATGAGTTGGTGAAAATGTTCCAGCACGAGGCCGAGACTCATGCTCAGGTGCACAAGCACATGTCTCGGCATAATTTGCCGCCAACTGCTGGGGATAGGTTTACGGAGGATGCCGATTATGTTCTTATTCGTTAGGATGAGAGATGAAATTTGGCGACAAACAATATTCATTTTAGGAGTAAGAAATTTCACTTCAGTTAGTTTGTTTTGGTGTGAATTTGTTTGTCTCTTGTTAATGTAACAAGATATGGTGAGAGGTTTGTATGGAATTTCAGTTTTCTACTTGCTTGTATAAAATCTATCTTTTTCTCCTGTTGTTTCTACTTTTACTGCACTCTTCTTGCAGTATACCTTTATGTATAGGGGTGAGCAGAACCGGGATGAAACGGGAAAATCAAGGTAAAACCATGCAATTTGGTCCAATTATTTAGAGCATCCACAATGCTTTGGGTCTCTTTTTGCATATGTGGCAAATAAATAGACTTAAGTCCATAATGACATGGACAAACTCAAACTAAAAAATCCAAAATCTATCCAATGCAAAACAAAAAAGTACTAGGTCTAGAATACATGACAACCAATAAAAATGCTCTAATATATTTCATTTATTAAAAGAAAAACTAAATGAGGAATAAATGATAAGTGCTTGGGTTTGTACTTGGGTCTAAAATAGACCCAAGTGTGGACTAGGTCTCATTTTTTTATTGTCACATAAGCTAGACTAGGTCTACATTTAATTGCATTGGAGAACACTTTTTTATAAAAGTTACATGCCATGTAAGAAATAGACCTAGTCTATAAAAAAGTGTTCTCCAATGCAATTAAAAGTGGACCTAGTCTAGCTTATGTGGCAATAAAAAAATGAGACCTAGTCCACACTTGGGTCTATTTTAGACCCAAGTACAAACCCAAGCACTCATCATTTATTCCTCATTTAGTTTTTCTATTAATAAATGAAATATATTAGAGCATTTTTATTGGTTGTCATGTATTCTAGACCTAGTACTTTTTTGTTTTGCATTGAATAGATTTTGGATTTTTTAGTTTGGGTTTGTCCATGTCATTATGGACTTAAGTCTATTTATTTGCCACATATGCAAAAAGAGACCCAAAGCATTGTGGATGCTCTTAGTGTGGGAATTTTTTGGTTTGGTTTTAGTTTTTCTTTATGTGTTGCGGTGTGGTTCGGTTAATTTATTTCTCATAAGTTTTGGTTGTTAGTTTTTACGGTTTGGCGCGGTTTTGCACGAACCAAACTCAAATGTGTAGAACAAAATTATGCACCTTCGACTTGTATTGCTATCATTTGTGTCGCCCTTCAAGCCCTTTCTCTATACAAGCAATTGTGACAGATTATAGATAATTATACATTTTTTAAGATAAGTAGTTGAATTTTCTTATAGGGAAATATTACGGTCTCATTACGGAACCATTGAATCAACGTGTAGTTAGATAAGATAGATGATCCAACTGTTAAAACACTCGACGAGATAATACCGTAACAGGACCGTAATATTTTCTCAAATCTAACGATTAAATTACCAACGAGACCGTAGCATTCCTCTTTCTTATATCTTGTTTCCAAAGTAATTTTACAATATATTTTTTTAATGACATTAACATTTAAATAAATTAAAGTCAAATCGAACAATTGACCCTAGATTAAAAAATAAAAAAAATAAAAATAAAAAATATAAATGCGTCGTTTTGACGCCATGGCCGCCAATGGCCACCAAAATACAAACGCACATCTAATTCTTGATTCTCAGTTATCACTGAAACTCCCAATCTGAAGAAGATGGTACGCTATTCTCTCACTTCTGTCTTTGAATTCTTGATTCCGTTTTGAAAATTTGAGCTACTGTTCGTACGTTCTTCTGTAATTGATTTATTTATTTATTTATTTTTCTGGCGAAATTGTTGATCCTTTTGGCTATCAATCTCCTTACTGCTCACGAATTACAGTGAGCTAGGTTTGAATTTTCATGGCTGGTATTTTTTTGTTATCTTCTCACTAAATTTCATATGCTGGTTTTAATGGGAAGAAGAAATTAGGTTAGTGAAAATTCAATCGTTCCAGCTTCCTTTGTGTATGGCGAAAAGTTCGTGCCTTTTAGGTTCTAAATCAGTTGTCAGGCTAATATTTACTGTTCTTGGTGTTCATTTAGTTTAATAATTTTGGTGATTGATGTTAAGGTTAGATTATTGTCCCCAAACCTTGGGTCGATAATAGAAGAATGAGCATGTCAGTTTAATCAGTGCTAATTAGACGTCTCTTTATTGTAATCGTCTTTGGGGCATAAGAAAACGAGATGTTGAATGCCGTTTACTCTCTTCAGAAAATGGATCATCGTTAATGTGGGAAGACACAAAAGTTTCGTGTTCAAGTCAACTTTCTCTAGGAAGCTTAAGAAAACGAGATGTTTAATGTCGTTTACTCTCTTTAAAAAATGGATCATGGTAAATGTGAGAAGACACAAAAGTTTTGTGTTCAAGTCAACTTTCTCTAGGAAGCTTAAGGAAACGAGATGTTGAATGTCGTTTACTCTCTTTAAAAAATGGATCATGGTAAATGTGAGAAGACACAAAAGTTTTGTGTTCAAGTCAACTTTTTTCTAGGAAGCTTAAGAAAACGAGATGTTGAATGTCGCTTACTCTCTTTAAAAAATGGATCATGGTAAATGTGAGAAGACACAGAAGTTTTGAGTTCAAGTCAACTTTCTCTAGGAAGCTTAAGAAAACGAGATGTTGAATGTCGTTTACTCTCTTTCAAAAATGGATCATGGTGAATGTGAGAAGACACAAAAATTTTGTGTTCAAGTCAACTTTCTCTAGGAAGCTTAAGAAAACGAGATGTTGAATGTCGTTTAATCTCTTTAAAAAATGGATCATGGTAAATGTGAGAAGACACAAAAATTTTGTGCTCAAGTCAACTTTCTCTAGGAAGCTTGTGAACTGTGTAGCTATGGGACAAGAGCTTATTACATATTCTGAATTTTAATGCTAGAATTATAATTTGTTTTAGACTGTTCGAATGCGATATTAAAGTCCGTTTCTCGATTATGTTGATTCAGGCTGACCCTGAGTTGGAAGCCATCAGGCAAAGGAGAATGCAGGAGCTAATGGCACAACGTGGCATGGTGAACCCTTAAAAGCCCACACGAATTGGAAAATATATATTTTTCTTTTCGAATATATAGTCTGTGTTTAGCATATTGTAGTGCCTGAGTTTTTGACTTGCAGGGTAGCAATCAGAACCCCGAACAGCATAAAGCCCAAGAGGATGCCAAAAGGTTAATTTAATCCCATTTCATTTCTATTTGAGCTTTCAGTTTTTGTTTATTATTTTTATTGTCTAAACTTGTTAAATTGATCTAGGGAGGCTGAGGAGCAAAGGCAACTGATTCTTACACAGATTCTGACATCAGAAGCACGAGCTAGACGTAAGTTGAATAAAGATGTGTCGTTGAATAACATTGTCTAGTTTTAAGAGTACAGTTTAATACTTCTTGTTACTTTTCCAAATCAATTGAGTTGTTGAGAGTTTTAGGGTGTGTTTGTATATAAATTCAATAGAATCCATACTAAATTCATACTCAAAATTTAACTCAACTCTTAACTCAACCCCACTATCCACAATATTATCGGTATTATTAAATAATATCAACCAATCATTCTTACGCATCACATCAACTTTAAATCACTATTTATCCACTCACATAATTTTAGCTAACCATCACTTCATAGCATCTCTCTCTTACTTTTACATCAAATCAATCTTCAATATTTAGCATTATTATTTTAATATAAACTTAAAATTCCACTAACAACTAATCATACCACTTTTTCAAATTAACTATGGTTATCCAAAAAACTCATTTTGAGCGGATGTATTTGTATGCAAACACGCCCTTATCCACTTGGATCCGTTTTTGCAAATGACATCATCAGACAGTTTTTGAGGATGGAAGAACAACAGATCTCACACGTGTGTCTTTTCTCCTTTGTATGTGTAGTTGCTCGGATAGCACTGGTTAAACCTGAAAAGGCAAGAGGAGTTGAGGATGTTGTAATAAGAGCCGCTCAAACGGGTCAGATTGTCGAGAAGGTAATTAATTCTCTTTGCTATTTGTTGCTTAAAATTTTTTATGTTCTGTAACTTTGTGTATGGTTCTAAGTTTTGCTGGCATTAAATATTTTTCGCCTTTATGAAGGTATCAGAGGAGAGGCTCATATCTTTGCTTGAACAAATCAACACCCAAACAACTAAAGAAACCAAAGTAACTGTAAGTAGCTGTGGTTGATTATTTTCTGAAGAGCTGTATGTGCCTTCTATTTCCCCTGTGAATTTTGTTTTGAAATTTTTATCTGATTTTGTTGACAGATTAAGAGGCGGACGAGCGTTCTTGATGATGATTAGCCTGTTTCATGATTCGGTTATCGTTCTGTCCGTCTTTGTATGGGGCTCTCTTTGTAACTTATATGGGGTGACAATTATGAATTTTTCGTCTTGTATGAGATCGTCCATATAAAGGGACCATTTTCAAATTCTGTATTTCTTTTATCTGGAGGACTGATGATGAGTTTCGGTGATTTGATTGACTTCTTAGTTGAGCCGAGGACGTTGTTGAATCATATATATGGTTCATCTAACGTTGTCTTTTTCATGAAAGCTTGTGCTATTCAACTACTAAGAATGGATGGGTTGATAAATTCAGCCACCGCAAAATAAACGAACACAGAGGATCTTTCAGAAATTAAGGATTTGCTTGTTTATGGATTAATTTGCTCAAAGTGAATTAACTTGTAAAATAGAGATATGGGGCGTTTGTTTACAAAATATTTCACGGTGGTTTATTGCACCAAATCTTCCTGTATTATACTAAATCTGCGCGTTTTCTCCATATATTTTAAAAATTGCGTCATACCTTATTGTGTTTAAGGTTTGCATGCGCGAACGGCAGTAGAGTGCACGCGCGTGCTATGTTGACTTTTTCTTATCTCAGGCCAAAAACTCTACACACAAGGCACCAAACCACCTTGCTACCATCATTGCATGGTATTTGACACACACTTATCTAAAAGAACATAGAGAGAACAAAGTTTTATCAAACAAAAAATAAAATAAATAATTACAAAATAGATTAACTATAAGAAAATATAATTAAAATAAAATAAAATAAATATTAAACTGAATAAATTTAAATGTGTAATTTTAAAATAATAAAATAATTTTATTATTTAATATTGAAACAAAATGATACTTTCATTAAAAAATAAAAATTTATAAATATAAAATAAATTTAATATAAAAATTAAAATATGTTTTCATGAATTGAAGTAATATAATATATATATATATAAATAAAATAAAATTCTTTAAAATAAAATAAATGATACTCTATTTATTATATATCATTAAAGTAGTAATTTTATAAATAAAACAAATTTAATTCAACAGCTATATATTATTTGTATTTATGACTTTTATTTAGTTTTTATATTATTTATCTTCTTAAAAAAATAGAGAAATATATAAATTTAATTTTTCAGTAAAATTTGTATTTTTAAATTTCTAATAAATAATTTAATTTTATTATTCTTATTTTATGTTCTATTAAATGAAAAATGCTAAAATTAGAATCCGTTATAATTATTTATAATGAGTTATTAAAAATAAGAATAAAATGAGTTATTTAATTCGTATTTTTAAATTAATGAGTTATAAATTAGAATCCGTTATAATTATTTATAATGAGTATTTAAAAATAAGAATAAAATGAGTTATTTAATTCGTATTTTATAATGAGTTATTAAAAATAAGAATAAAATGAGTTACAAATTAATGAGTTATTTAAAATTCGTATTTTTAAATTTCCAATAAATAATTTAATTTTATTATTCTTATTTTATGTTCTATTAAATAAAAAATGCTAAAATTAGAATCCGTTATAATTATTTATAATGAGTCATTTTTTAGTTAAGAATAATAGAATTTTTTATTTATATTCTACAATTTAAAATATAATTATTCAGTTAATATTTTAGTACATGATTTTAATTATAAATAAATAATTTTATTTTTTATATTTTATTTAGTATAATTTATTTAATTATATTTCATTGTCTTAAGTTAAACAAAATAAATATAGTTGTTAACTATGAAATAAAAAGAATAATGCAACAAAATAAAATGGAGTAATAAATAATAAAATATAAATGTATATGAAAGTATTTAAAACAAATACAATAAGTATTATTATTTTAACTGCAATTTTTTAGATTTATTTATATTTTATTTTAATTATTTTCTTTTGATAATATAATAAGTTGTTTAATTTATTTTTTTTTGTTTTATTTTATATAATTTAAATATTTTGTATTCTAATTTATCTTAAGTTTTTTATGTTTTAATAATTTAATTTAATATAATTTACATTATCTTTCAAATTTAATTTTATTTATCCATATGCAATGTTAATATATATTAAACGTTAACACATCTAATACATAAGCATGAGTGGTACAGTGGTTGTATGCATGCTCCTCCCTCAAGGAGGTCCTATGTTCAAATCCTAGAGGTGGCAATATTTTTTTTATTCAATTTCTCGCGATTTATTCAAATTTTCTCGATATATTCAATTTCTCGCGATATACTGAATATATCATGATAAATTCAATTTATCAGAAATATATATATATATATATATATATAATATTCGGCATAACGGGAATTTACAAAAATATTAACGCCGTTAACAGGAAAACAGTAAAAGGAGAGCGTGTGCATGCAAACCTTAAATACAAGGGGGTATGACGCAATTTTTAAAATACAGGGGGAAAACGCGCATATTTATTATAATACAGGGGGGTTTGGTGCAATAAACTCTATTTCACGGTTGCTATTATTAAGTGGGTCCTACCTCACCTTCCTTATGTCTCCGTCATTATTGAATTGTTCTGTCACACTGTCTTTGAATAGTGAGAGAGAGTAGTGAAGCCATTCGTCCATAAATTAAACCTCTAGGGTAAACGGAAAACAATGAGCTTCAACCATTTCACCTCCTAGCCGGAACTTACTCCACCTGTTCGGTCGCCGGAGGCTCCACTGGAGAGGACAGAACCGCACACCGAAAGTACTGATAGCATGTCGGTGACGTCGCTGGAGAAGAAAAGGAAATAGAGAACAAAGGTAGGTTGATTTTTAGGATTCTCATCGCAAGTGTTGCTCTTGTTCATATACATACATGGATTTTACAATTAATTATTACATACCAAATAGAATGTGCGTAATAAAACATATTTATATAACAAAAAGAGAAAACAAAACAAAGAAAAATGAATTGTTGTACAATTCACATACCTCAATTGCTTCCTTACGACCGTCCTCGTCAAGATAGGTGGTCTTTGCGTGTATATCGAAAACACAATATATATTCTATAAAAATATTTAAATGGTCGATACCTTTCAAAAACATGGTATAGCATTATTCCAAAGTCAAATTTTGCCCAATTTCACCCAAGCAACTTCGGTATATTCTATCAAATGCCATACATACGTCAAACTCGGAGTTCAACCATTCTGACTGGATGTAATGTAGAAGGATGAAACAAAAAGATTCCTCAGCTAGTGGAAGCCATTTGTTTGAAAAGTCTTCCCGTATATAGCGAAAATGTTCTTCCTTTATTTGTGGCAGTGATAAATCCCACATGATTGTAAAGAACAAATAAATGATATTGATGTTTTGCAGTGGTGAATTTATAGGGAAAACCTTGTAGGTATATATAGACAAATTTTGTTGGTGATAATTGAATTGGATACAAAGGTAATATTGCATACCGGTCATCTGTATTGTACAATTACACACAAATAGCATATTAAAGGTTATACCGATTTGTACCCCGATCATATTGTAACTACCGATAAACAATATTAAAATTAATAATTAACTAAAATGTCATGTTTTTCATTTGTTTTTAGTTATGGACAAACAAATATGGATTAAACGTTGCAGACCCCAACATCAGCTACATTCACAGGTACACAAAGATGATGGAGGGATGAGAAGAGCTTGCAAATAATGTCACAACCCATTCCTACCCCTAAAAAGTGGTCAAACTTGTGTACAACTCTGCAATTTTTTTATTGGATTTACCACACATTTTCCTTCTCATTTTATTAAAAACTTTTTCCCATGCATACTCACGTCGTACAAGTTGGTTTCTACTCCCTCCTTTTTATAATAAGTGTCGTTTTAAGAAGTTGTACAATTATTAAGAATATTTTTTGCCAATAATAACCCTCATTAATGAGGATAGAAATAAATGTTTTGAGAAATATTTATTAGCTAGATTAGGGTAATTATGGAAAAATATTTACAAAATATCCAAAACGACATTTATTTTGTTAGTAGTTGATAATGCCAAAATGACATTTAAAAAGAATATAGCAGTATTTATTAATTTTTTCTCGTTTTTTGTTGCCATACTTCTCATTAGAGCTGTAAACGAGCCGAGCCGAGCTCGAGCTTAAGGTGCTCGAGCTCGAGCTCTTAACGAGTCGAGCAGAACTCGGCTCGTTAAGTAAACGAGTCCATATTCGAGCTCGAGCTCGGCTCGTTAAGGCCTCGAGCTTTAACGAGCCGATCTATAAACAATATATATAAATTCTACTTTCGAGCCGATTCGAGCTCGGCTCGTTAACCATTCGAGCTTTAACTGAGCTCGAGCTCGGCTCGTTAAGGCCTCGAACTCGAGCCGAGCTCTAGCCGAGCCGAGCCAGGCTCGTGTAACTTAACATCACTACAGTTCTCATATTAATATGAATGTTTGAAGTCGAACAACAACAATAATATATGTATGATATGAAGTGTGTATAGGGGTGCATAGGGGTGATGTTTAAACCGAGATGTTCGCAAAAACAACTCGATTCATCTTGTGACATCTCATACTTGTTTTGTTCAAATATAAGTGAGCAGAATTTGAACTAATTGACTTTGTTTATTAAACGAGTTGAGCCGAATGTATTCACAAACCGAATAGTTTATGGTTTAGAATTTATTAAACGAGTCAATTCGAGCCCAACTTTCACGAGATTATACGAGTCAAGTTTGAGCAAAAATTTTCACGAAATTATACGGATTAAACTTGAGCACAAACTTTTATCTGATTAATAAACGAATTGAGCCAAGAAAAATATTTTATTAAACTACCACAAACTCATTAAATTTATATTTGTATCTATATAATTGATCAATCCATATAGCCATAATTGACATGGTTTTAGGCGGATTTTTTTTTTTTTGTTTATATTTGACATTGAATTAATCTTTATTTTTTAACAAATTTATATATGAAAAAATATAATTTTTTTCTTAAATAATGAAGTTTATATATTAAATAGTTATGGATATAATTTAT